ACTATGGTGTAGTAATTGCCAGTGAGTTGCGTCCCATCTGATTACCTCTTCAGGTACCGTCTCAGGGTCAGTTTCAATAGTATCTCTAAAATTTGCTTTAGTATCATATCCAAAATAAAATGTGAATGATAAAAATATGCCAGAAATATTACTAAGTACCCATATACGGATACAGATTTCTGGTGTGTCTTTCCAACTATACTGATACAGGTTTCCAGGGTGTCTTTTCTCCTCCTCTGATACAAGTGTCCAGGGTGTCTTTTCCCTTTAAAGATACAGGCTCCCATAGTGTCTTTCTCCCTATACTGATAAAGGTTACCAGAGTGCCTTTTCTCAGCAACATGAAAATCCTAGTACCAAGTTTCCCCCAGGTAGATACCAAGTCACCTGCTTATACCGTCTCAGGTCAGATATTTTAGATTTGTACAGATGTGATATAATGACATAAAAAGAACCAGTCATCTCCAATCTCTCCTTTCTTCAATCATTTCCACATACCAAGCTGTCTTAAGTAACTGTTAATTTTTCAATATCTCAGCCATAATTTTAATTTCTATAGAGGTTTTTACTGTGTAAAAACACTCCTGTTATTTTGAGTAATAGCTGCTCGAGTGTTGGATATCAATTACTAATCATGAAATATAAAAATGTTAAAACAATCAAATTAATTTACAGAAGGAACTGATTTAATATATTCCGATGTAAATGACCAAATTCAAATTGAAATCAAAATAATTATCCTTGTGTAAGATTTCTCAAACCCCAAAGGCTCCACTTCCAGCTGCTGAAGCCAAAATGTAACGTAAACAAAGTTGTACTACACATGCCTGGGGCATCCCACAGATAGTAGTTAGGCAATGCCGAGGAGCTAAGTGCTGGAGTTTGAGGACTGAAATTAGCAGCTGGGAGAGATAAAGTTCACCTTTTTATGTCATACAAGTCTTTTTATATCCCAGAGAAATGAGGGACAGTGGGGAATATTTTGGACTATAGAGAAAAACCTGATAGCACTAGATGTGTTAGCTCATTAGCAGAAAAACATCAGTGGTATCTACGCACAAGGCTGGAAAAACCACACAAGGAAAAACCAAAGATGATACTCTATAAAGTTCTACAAGTGAGTTAAGCAAGTTATGCCTGAACCTGTGATGTGCAGACCAGAGAAACTACTCTTGGAAGGCTCTATAAATCTCTGATTTTATCCTAGCATATTACTCCTTATCATCACTTGTGTTTTCTACCAAATTCCTCATCCTAATTGAAATAAGCATTATCAGGCTGAATCTACAACAGTTTCTACTACAGTGATGTGGCACACAGCCCCCATCAGCTCCCCCTACCATACACAGCCCCCTGGCCGGGACACCTATCTCCTGCCCCCAAGTGTGACATAATGTATGATAGCCTTTATCAATTTCCATTAAATACATCTTTCAATTTTCACTTCTAAAAATTGGTCTGCCTTGCCGGATCTGATAGGTGGCCCTCAGGTCTGATAAGATAGTCCAATCCCTCATCTTGTAGCTCACCTCCTAGCCCAAGGTCATCACCTCAACAGATTTCACCCTTAGATAACCTACCTCAGCATCAGAATCAAATTTAATTAAATATTTGATGTGTATTTAATATAATTGAATGAAATTTTATCATACTAATGAAACTATATTACATCAAATGATACATTGTGTTAGAACCAGGATTGAAATTGATACTACCTCTGGAAATCAAATATCATTACAGCAAATGTTTTATCAGAAATAAATGTTGATTTCTTCAAATTATTAAATCAATTGAAAAAAAATTCTTCATTAGAAAATTGACTATTGAAATTTTGATGGAATTTTATAGTACATGTACTACATTTTCCCATCCTTGCTGCCCTTAACTTTGTCCTTGAACTTTGACCTGATGGCTGCCTGCTAAGTGTAAACTGAGCACAAGACCCATCAAACACCAACTGACAGATTATGACAAGGCAAAAGATTCAACTTCAGATGCAAGCTGTACAAACCAATTGAGAGGAACTTTGACTGATTTATCTGATTAAGTGGCCATCACTTTGCCAGCAATATTACCAGATTGTTAATTACATAGACCAAACAGTGACATGACTGCTGTTAAGGTGATACACTCTGCTTATACATTCTACTGTAAGTATTTAATATCTAAAACATCAACATCCAAAAGTTAAAAAAAAAAAAAAAAATCAGTGTCGTCCTGATCACTGGACTTGCTGAAAGCAACTTTATCTATAAGGCTTCAAGTGACCACAGCCCAGTAGTTTGATGAAGTCTTTTTTTATTATCGTTTCTTGGGACAGTTTTTGTTTCAATATTTGATGTACCTGTTTTACCTAATCAAGCTGCATAACTATATAACCAGAATGTTGGGCTCAAGTAATGGAAAATTTCAACATGGATACAGATTAAAGTGATGACTGAGGACCATTCATTTTCTATAAGCCACCATGGTGTTTGAAAAGATGTTGCAATAATTAACGATTTGCAAACTAGAATTCTAATACTTAGATTAGATCCAAACATCAAGATGGTACATTGAAACTTATATAGTGTAGTTACATAAAAATCAATATTTGAAATCTTTGCAATACAAAATTGTAATTTCATTCATAAATATACTTTTATTTTGTAATTTACAGTCTTAAAAGAGAACTGGGGAAGTGCTAAGACCTCTTCAGCAGTAGCCTGACAGGAAATGATCATACTCAAGTTTAATTGTAGTGTAAAAGTTAACTACAAACAGACCATGGGAAAATTCTCAAAACTTTGCCAAGATAACTTGATCAATGGAAATGTAATTATGCATTTCAAAACAGAACTGCCTATTACTTGATTTAAACAACTTCAGAAATCTAAATACTTACAACGGTGACATATTGAGAAAGTAAATCTATAGCCAAAGTCATGAGCTGTTTACAGTGTTTAGGGTAACAAAAGATTCAACCATATGCTAAGCATCGATACACATTTTCCTCCACCAAATAACACTTAGGTGAAAGCTTCTATGGCAAATAAAATTTATGAAGCAAATCAAGAAAACTTGTATGATTTGGTCCATTACACTAAACTGATGGTAGTTGGTAAGTCATTACATCACAAACTCATTGATAAGTCCCTCTACCCATAATAGGTAAGTTAACAGTGGGTCGTTACATCTAAATAAAGGGGTATATATGACAATGACATTCGTGGCCATAGATCAAATATTTAAAGCTCCTTACAACGACAGTTCTGCCAGAATCACAAAACTGAAATAAGATATAAATATTCTTTGAATAATTCTAACGATAAATTATTCTCCTTTTCTTGCCCTGTACACCAACTGTAATGTCTACCATTGATAATTCCGTAGCTGTTGCCTTTCACTTTAAGAGGTCAACTTGCTGTCATCATCTGATAACATGTAACAATTAATCAAAAACATGTGTGGCCAATATAGAAAAAGTGAGGCATACTGATGTGTCCAATACTGAAATAGTGAGGCAAACTGATGTGTCCAATACTGAAATAGTGTGGCATACTGATGTGTTAAATACTGAAATAGTGAGGCGTACTGATGTGTCCAATACTGAAATAGTGTGGCATACTGATGTGTTAAATACTGAAAAAGTGAGGCATACTGATGTGTCCAATACTCAAAAAGTGAGGCATACTGATGTGTCCAATACTGAAATAGTGTGGCATACTGATGTGTTAAATACTGAAATAGTGAGGCGTACTGATGTGTCCAATACTGAAATAGTGTGGCATACTGATGTGTTAAATACTGAAAAAGTGAGGCATACTGATGTGTAAAATACTCAAAAAGTGAGGCATACTGATGTGTCCAATACTGAAATAGTGAGGCATACTGATGTGTCCAATACTGAAATAGTGAGGCATACTGATGTGTCCAATACTGAAATAGTGAGGCGTACTGATGTGTCCAATACTGAAATAGTGAGGCATACTGATGTGTTAAATACTGAAAAAGTGAGGCATATTGATGTGTAAAATACTCAAAAAGTGAGGCATACTGATGTGTCCAATACTGAAATAGTGAGGCATACTGATGTGTCCAATACTGAAATAGTGAGGCATACTGATGTGTCCAATACTGAAATAGTGAGGCGTACTGATGTGTCCAATACTGAAATAGTGAGGCATACTGATGTGTCCAATACTGAAATAGTGAGTTACACTGATGTGTCTAATACTGAAATAGTGAGGCATACTGATGTGTCCAATACTGAAATAGTGAGGCATACTGATGTGTCCAATACTGAAATAGTGTGGCATACTGATGTGTCCAATACTGAAATAGTGAGTCGTACTGATGTGTCCAATTCTGAAATAGTGAGGCATACTGATGTGTCCAATACTGAAATAGTGAGGCATACTGATGTGTCCAATACTGAAATAGTGAGTTACACTGATGTGTCCAATACTGAAATAGTGAGCATACTGATGTGTCCAATACTGAAATAGTGTGGCATACTGATGTGTTAAATACTGAAATAGTGAGGTACACTGATGTGTCCAATATTGAAATAGTGAGGCGTGACACTAGTATTAATATTTCCAATTCTGAAAATAGTGAGACATATAGTGTACTGATGTGTCCAATAATGAAAAAGTAAGACATTCTGATCAGACCTTTAGTACCAACTATACGCTATGAGAAAGGTTTTGAAGCCAGAAAAAACATTTAATATATAGTTAAATGACTGTGAATTTCAATGCATAATTATCGAACTGACAGAGAGGTAGTGTATTGTAGTGTCTCTCATGGATCTGTAATTAGATGGCAGTGTTATGTTACAAAGTGAACTAGCCTACAGGTCTCCTTCAAATGGAAAATCTATGTTTGTATATTAATTGCCATGAATTAATACTTAATGCCAATACATTATCAACAATTATTTGTGTCACCATTCTTGGCTCATCCTCAGAGTTTTCCAATAATCGGAAAGGCATAAGAAAGGTATCAGGTATACTCACATGACATGGTATCCTGGTCCCAGGCCTCTAAGATAAGTGTGTAAGATCTCTGCAAAAAACAAACCACAGATTAACAATATCTTTATGGTATATAAGAGAATGAGGAGTGAAGCAGAAAAAGGTAGAAAATAATGTATTACCACAAAAACAAGTAAATAAAGGAGGGTGGTTATTAACATGACATCTGCACTACATAAGGCTAGACTTAAAGTATCCCTTCTCAAGTAAAAATTCTGTCACTTCCTACCTCTATACTACATAACAATAATTGTACATCAGAAAATTACACTTTGTCTCTCTGGTAAATTACACTTTGAATACAAGTTTATTAAAGATGTATCAAAGTAATGCTTCAATCCATATTGTTAATAGAGAGTCAAATCAACAAAACCAGATAATACGTCTTTGTGACTTTCTCAAGGTATACCTGTCTATCACACATCAGGTGTCTGTGACCTTGACCTTGTTGATTGAGAGTCTATACAACAATAACTGCCTCACCATCTTGCTTCCATGACCTTGACACTAATCAATCACTTTACATACATTGTAATGTTTTTGTAACCTTGGCATTGGTGTTACAGTTCTAATATGTTAATTATTGTCATACATCATATATATTGTTTTTGTGGCCTTGCCAATAGTGTAACTAGTCCTTAAAAGACAAGTCCCACACATCTGATATCTATGTACAAGAAATGATGGAAGAAACTTAGAGGGAATTGTGTCTTACATCACCAAAACTACACAATACATCAAGACTTAGATCCAGTTAATGAAAAAAGCAATGAAATGGTTGACTTTATAGTGATTGGTCTGCTCTTTAAGCCAGTCTCGTAATACACTTGTAAATGTCCTTACCATCATTTTTGTTTCAAACGTAATCTTCAACTTGCACCTAATTTGTTTGTGCGTGTTTTATGAATCTGAACTAGGTAAGGCCTCTAGTTTATGTGTTTTACATTTCCTCATACACAGTGCTTCAATTGCTGTGTAACTAGTTAAGTAGATTACAGAAGACATTTCCAGGCCTGATCATTACAATGGTATAACAGCATTTAACATGTCTGTTACAAGTCAAATAACACAAACCCATGTAACCCAGGATCAAAGAGCACCTCCCAGGTATGTACCCCTCACCCATGTAACTCAGGGTAAAAACTCACACCCCAGACATGTATCATTCACCCATGTAACTCAGGGTAAAAACTCACACCCCAGACATGTATCATTCACCCATGTAACTCAGGGTAAAAACTCACACCCCAGACATGTATCATTCACCCATGTAACTCAGGGTAAAAACTCACACCCCAGACATGTATCATTCACCAATGTTACTCAGGGTAAAAACTTACACCCCAGACATGTATCATTCACCCATGTAACTCAGGGTAAAAACTCACACCCCAGACATGTATCATTCACCCATGTAACTCAGGGTAAAAACTCACACCCCAGACATGTATCATTCACCCATGTAACTCAGGGTAAAAACTCACACCCCAGACATGTATCATTCACCCATGTAACTCAGGGTAAAAACTTACACCCCAGACATGTATCATTCACCCATGTAACTCAGGGTAAAAACTCACACCCCAGACATGTATCATTCACCAATTGTGACTCAGGGTTAAAGGTCACACCCAAGATATTTATCACTCAACCATGTAACTCAAGGTCCTCAGTCACACTCGATCAAGACATTGTACCATCACCCATGTAACTTGGGGTCAAAAGTCACACACCAGACATGTATCCCTTACCCATGTAACTTAGGGTCAAAAGCCACACACCAGACATGTATCCCTCACCCAAGTAACTTAGGGTCAAAAGCCACACACCAGACATGTATCCCTCACCCATGTAACTTTGGGTCAAAAGCCACACACCAGACATGTATCCCTCACCCATGTAACTCCAGGGTCAAATGTCTCACTCAAGATATGAAAAATACTCCCATGTAACTCAGAGTCAACAGTCACAAAGATGTTTTCCTGATTTAACTTAGCTTTAACAAAGCTAAAACAAAACGTAATGTACAGCTAGTGAACCTGGGGCTAAAAACTGATAAATATCTATCAAATTCTCAGACTTTATTCCTATTTGATTCAATCAATGACTTTTCATCTAGCTTCTGTATCAGATGCACCTCCATTTTCATTCAGTAAAGAAATAACAAACAGTATCGGAAAACTTTAAGGACAAATGCATGTTCCTAAGGTCAGTGTAGTTAAGCCTTTAGTAGTTGTGACTGACTTACTACTTCAACACAGTACCAGATAAACAAAGGAACATCAGTATTAATAGGAAATATCACAGATCTAGGATATTCCATGGATATTGTAAATAATGAAGACAGGAATCCTGATAGAATGATATATTGAAACTAGGGAATCCCCTAGTGGATAAAATATAGATGACAGGGAATCCCCTAGTGGATAAAAACCAAAGATGACAGGGAATCCCCTAGTGGCTAAAAATAGATGACAGGGAATCCCCTAGTGGATAAAAAACATAGATGACAGGGAATCCCTTAGTGGATAAAACATAGATGACAGGGAATCCCCTAGTGGATAACACATAGATGACAGGAAATCCCCTAGTGGATAAAAACATAGATGACAGGGAATCCCCTAGTGGATAACACATAGATAACAGGGAATCCCCTAGTGGATAATAACACATAGATAACAGGGAATCCCCTAGTGGATAAAAACATAGATGACAGGGAATCCCCTAGTGGATAAAAACATAGATGACAGGGAATCCCCTAGTGGATAAAAACACATAGATGACAGGGAATCCCCTAGTGGATAAAAACATAGATGACAGGAAATCCCCTAGTGGATAAAAACAAGAGATGACATGGAATCCCCTAGTGGATAATAACACATAGATGACAGGGAATCCCCTAGTGGATGGATTATAGAAGACAGGGAATTCTCTGATAGAATGGTACACCAAAGAATTCTTCAAAGTATATAAACCATACAAAGGAAACATAACAGAGCACAGACCAGTGTATACCGTAACTCTGTCACTTTTGCCTTATATTCTATCATTTCATCCAAACTTAGCATATATGTCTCCATCACAGTGTCTTAAACAGAAATCATTAAAAGTCACCTCCTTCATCCTGTACACTTTTGCAACCCCTAAGAAATCAAAGACAGGGTAATCATTTTTGCTGAGCCAACTTGCTGTAAGAAGAACATGTGGTGACACTCTCTCTCATCCCCAATCATAATACTGACTCCCATCATGTGCATTATTCTGGGCTTATCCGATGATTCTTGTGTTCCCATCCAATATTCCTACATCAGTTTTCTCACATTAATTTCTGTAGAATGCTTGGCACCAAGCAGATATCAACCACCAACCTGGAATACCAAAACCACCCACCGAATTAGTCCACTGCACCACACAATCCATTTACAATCCACACATAACTAATCAACTATCACATAGCCACACAACCACTCAACTATCACATAGCCACACAACCACTCAACTATCACATAGCCACACAACCACTCAACTATCACATAGCCACACAACCACTCAACTATCACATAGCCACACAACCACTCAACTATCACATAACCACACAACCACTCAACTATCACATAGCCACACAACCACTCAACTATCACATAGCCACACAACCACTCAACTATCACATAGCCACACAACCACTCAACTCTCACATAACCACACAACCACTCAACTATCACATAGCCACACAACCACTCAACTATCACATAGCCACACAACACTCAACTATCACATAACCACACAACCACTCAGTTATCACATAACCACACAACCACTCAACTATCACATAGCAACACAACCACTCAACTATCACATAGCCACACAACCACTTGACTATGATTATTAGGGTAAATAGTTTTGAAGTCTTACAAAAACATTGCAATATTGATGGCAGTAAGACTTAATGGTGTTTAAGTAACAATATGAATCACCAGTAAAAGCATTGTTGTCTTGTCATCATTTCAGAAATTAATCATAAGGAACATGCATAATTTTGAAAAAGCACCTTAAGACATTTTCATCCATGTAGAGTATTTGATTTTTATCATAATTGGGTGCTGAGAAGAAGTTTTTGAAATTAAAGACAATTGCTCTGCCCATCAGCTCCTGCGGGTTCCATGATCAAAATGTGCATAACTTTGAAGTGTTAACCGATGTTGATAATTCCTTTAAAATTTTGAATTATGCAAATTTCATTGAAATCAGTTCAGGGGGTTTTCAGAAGAAACTGAAAATATAAAAAGTTTATGATGCACGACACATAACACTATACAAAATGTGACATAACCACATCATCAATCACCCATGAAATATCCTGACACAATCATTCAACCATAACATAACAACACCACCAATCAACCAGAATACATCCTCACATTATAACTCAACTGTTACATTGACCACCACTAATCAACCATTAAACATCCTCAAAATCACTCAACCATAACATAACCACACCATCACCAATCAACCATAAACCATCCTCACATTATAACTCAACTATTACATTGACCACCACTAATCAACCATTAAACATCCTCAAAATCACTCAACCATAACATAATCACATCACCACCACTCAACCATAAAACATCCACATACCTTCACTCCACTATAATACAACCACATACAATTACCCATCACTCAACCATAATTTTCCACATACTGATCCCCTTGTGATAGCATTATAAGTGCCGCTATCCCCTTGTGATAGCATTATAAGTGCCGCTATCCTTTTGTGATAGTATTGTAAGTGCCGCTATCCTCTTGTGATAGTATTGTAAGTGCTGCTAAATAAGATCAAGGTATTTTCACCCATCCTCCATTTTCTCATGCCCTCCCCCCACTCCCACCCCCATTACTTTTACAAGGCTATATATAAAAAGCTTTTTTTTTCATTATGAAATTGAAAAAACCAAATTGAATCACTGACTTATTCCAAGAAAATCATCTATAACCATATCTGTATCTAAATGAAATTTCGGCTTG